AGTTGAGGAGCTACAAAGAGGAGCTGAAGAATAAAAGGGAGACAAGAACATGGCTCCTCTTTGCATGGGGGAAGGAGAGAGGCAAGGGGAGGGGAGGCTCCGGAGCCTGGGTACCTGGCAGCACAGCCTTCGCTGGGGCAGCACTGGTGTGGGGCGGGAGCTGGTCCCAGGCATACTGTTTAAAGGAACCCACGAAGCCTGGGTGGAGTGGTCCTCGCCTGTAAGCCCAACACACGGGAGGCCAAGGTAGAAGGACTGCAAGCTCCAGGCTACTCTGGACTACATAATGAGACTCTGTCTCAAAAACTAGCACAGCACAGCACAGAACAAGTTCATGAATATGTGCAATTCAGTCAGTTTGCTCAGCTCTGTAACGTTGTTGCAGTAGACATCTGGGAGCTAACCAGCGTAGGAGTTACGCCTTTCCCCTTCCTGATCCAGGCCCTTAGAGATGTGAGGAGAGAGAAGAAATGGATTGGCTGGCAACACCTCAAAAGAAGTCACCGAGGTCGACGCCCGGGTGGCTAAGCGGAAGGATTCAGCATTCGTCTTCTCCACAGTGAACCAAGACAACAAGTGCGTGAGCTTGTCGTGTGAGCGACCGAGGAAGGGCACGGGAATTCAGCGCCTTCCTCCACCTCCACGTAGCAGGGCTATTATCAGAGAAATGCGAACAGACAGAAATAGCTTAATATGCAGGACCAGGAGATAGCTCAGCGGCTTAAGCGCTTGCCTGGCAAGCACAAGGAGCAAGTTCGATTCCCAATACCACATGTTGTGCCGGCCCGAAACCGGGTGTGGTGGTGCATGTTGTAATCACAGTGCTGGGGAGGCTGAGACAGGAGGATGCTATGAGTCTAAGCTGTGTGGTGAGACCCTGTATCAAAAAACCCCTATATCTATATCTATATCTATATCTACATTAATATTCAGCCTTGAAGTTCAAAGTAGGAACTGTGAACAGAGGCAGAGATGATAGTTGTAGAGGCCTAACTTTGGAACCACAAAATGTGGAGCTTTCTCAACATTCAGACTATGGATGAAAGACTTGCCATTTGACCACTGCAGCAAACAGCAGATTTAAGGAGGATGTGTGCTGGGGTGCGGGGAGTAGAAAGCAGGTGGCAAAGGCTGGGATCTGTGCCCGTTTCTTGCCTCATACGTTGGGAGGGGGCACATGCTTATGGGGTGTTTCTCTTCACATCCTGAGGGAGTTTCCTCAGCTATGTGGGAGTCAGAAGCAGCTGCAGACGCCTAAACCCTTGAAGACAACTTGCGAGAAGTCAGGCTGTCCTCTCGGAGTGCCTGAGGGGTGGCGAGCTCAGAGGGCCTGGGGGTGCCCTGGGTGCTCAGTCAGGACTGGAAGTTTCCCACATGGCTGCCAACGTGAACGGAAGTTCATGGCTTCATTAAGTTGCAGGCATCAGTGAGCGCTTGGACGGGAGCAGTGAGATCAGCAGGAGAGTGACGCGGACAGTAGCCCCCTTCCCACCAGGAGCGGAGCATAAGCTCTCTGCGAGGGTGGAGAGAGAAAGGGTTTTAAAGATGAAGTGGCTGAGGACACCCTGAAGTGACTCAGTTTATTCAAACAGTGAAGTTACTACATTCGGTGTGCAAGGTGGTGGGATTGTGAGAAAAGTTATTTTAAGATAATGTATGAAATGTTCTCATATTAGGTATTTACATAAAAAATACTCTACATGCTGGGAGTTTGTGGCCTGAAAATGTGTACGTGTTGCAAAAACTTCTTCAGAATATTACAGACAATGACTTCTAAAATACCAAAACAACGTACAGACTGGAATTTTGAAATTTATACATTGTGGCTTGTATCTAGATGTCCCCCCCCCCAAAGCCTCAAGCTGTCATAGCTGGGATTTGGGGGGAGGTGGCTGGATTTAGGGTGCGTGATGCTGGGATTAAGTGTGCTCTGCTGAGATGAAGGTGCCCCACCTTGGACGAGAGTACGACCTCAGGTAGCCTGGATGAGACAGAAAGAGGCTGCTGCTGCAGCCTGCTGCATCACTGGTTTGCTGCCTTGTACCTGTCCTGCTTTGCCATAGGCTGTTTCTCCTCTGTGACACCCTCGACGTGGAGCTGGCTGACTGTGGACTGAGAACTCTACAGACTGTGATAAATAAATCTTTTCTTTTTTAACTTTGGGTGCTGGGGATTTTGTCTCAGCAATGAGAAAAGTAACTAAGACAATATATTTTCTCCACTCACAAATTTCTCTTGCAACTGTCTTCAGTATTACTACAAAGCCAGTGACCTATGAGAAGCACTTAATTATGTAATTTTTAAAAATAGTATGTATGGTTCTGTTAGTAGAGAGCAGGAAATCTTGTTTTATTTTTATTTATTTTTTGAGACAGGGAAGTCCAAGCTGGCCTTGAACTGACAGGGATCCTTCTGCCTCAGCCTCCCACATGCTGGGACTACAGGCACGTGCCACCATGCCCTGCTGCAGCCAATCTTAATTGCATTCAAGAAGTGCTTATTGCGCACATACTTCATATGAGCCAGGCATCGTGCTGTGTCCTGATGAACTCCTAAAAATTTAGAAGAAGATGTATCAGACAGCTAATAGTGCCTGTGACTGCAGCCAGACATTGTGAGGCCATTTATGGCTCATGTTACTTCTTTCTTTAATGTTCCAGTATTTTATAAGACTGTGTGTCTTTGGAACAGGAAAGGAGAAGGGGAGCATGCTGCCAGATTGGGTCTCTGAGCCTGCCGGGGCACAGTGAGGTAGTGGAGCCCCCGCTGCAGACCCTGGAGTCCCAGGGACCCAGCTTCAGGCCTGTCTTGTGACATAACAATTGGGTCACTTTGAACAAACCTCATCCCTCTTCTGCCTGTTTCTTTTGTGAAAGAGGCTCTCTCAAGAGTCAAAGGAGAGGTTGGACTGCAGTGGCACTGTCTGCAAATACAGGCAGTGACCCACCCCTCCTAAAGAGCCAATGGCCCTGTAGCAGTGAGGTTGCGCCATATGGTACCCAGAGGGATGGAGAAGGCTCCTGTTGGGGACCTGGTCCCCCCAAGTCAGTGGAAGGAACAGGAACAGAGGCATGATTGATGAGGGCTTCCTGCCCCTCTGCCCACTGTCACGGAGCTCCATGACAGTTTATCGCCCAGCAGGTGGGGGATGCTCCAGGGGAACTGCTGTCCTGGCTTGCGTCTCACCTTTGGCTGGGACACAGACATGAAGGTGTCAAGAAGCTGCATGGGGCAAGCTGGGTTTATGCTACTGATCATCACAGCTGTGTGTCTGAGACTCATGACTCCAAAAAGCTTGGAGAAGACAAAGGGGAGACCTGGTGCTGGGAGTTCTTGGGCTCACAGGGCTCCCCCTGGGCTGCGTAGCTGCCACAGTGCCAAGGGGAAGCCATGGCCCAGGAGTCCTGGTGTTCTGTAATTTTTAAAACCTCAGGTAGTATTACTAGCAAACGCTCTGAACAGTTATATCTAAAATGTCTATGTACCCTAAGTTGTGACTTGCCTGGGGTGCCTGTCCCTCTGGGAAGATGCAGCTAGCCAACCTTCTGGGGGAACTGGATGCCTAAGGGCAAAGATAAGGAATTCATGCAGAAGGGCATCAAAAGCAAGAGACTGGATAAAACTAGAACTTTCTAGAATGAATTGAGCTAGAATAGCTCAACAAAACATGACTTTAGCCTTAGTTTCAATCTTTTGGGAGGAAGGCAAGAGTCTCTAAGTTTCCCCACTGCAGTGAAGCTGTCAACTACTTAGTAGACTGTTTCCAAAAAAGATTAAAAGGACCTTTTGCCTCCCAACTTCCCTCCTTTTATCTTTGCTCTATAAACCTCATCCATCATTTGAGGGTTTTTTTTTAAATAAGATTTTATGTTTCTTTTTTCTTTTTTTTTTTTCTGTCTTTGAGACAGGGTCTCACTATGCAGTTCAGGCTGGCCTTGAGCTCACTTTGTAGCTCCTCAAAACTTGTAGCAATCCTTCTGCCTCAGCCTCCTGAGTGCTGGGATTACAGGAGTGTATACCTGAGTAATAAACACAAGAATTTTTCAAAATATTTTCCTAGGGGCTGGGGAGATAGTTTGGCAGTCTAAAACACTTGCCTGGAAATCACAAGGACCCAGGTTTGATCCCTGGTACAGCATGCCAAGCTGGCCCCAAACTCCTGGTGTGCCACGCTGGCCACTGAAACCAGGCGTGGTGGCACACACCTGGAATCCCAGTGCTGGGAAGGCTGATATAGGAGGATCACTATGAGTCTGTGTAGTGGGACCCTGTACCAAATAAATGAATAAAAGATAAAAAAATATTTTCCTAGTAATTTGAGGACTCTATCATACCCTATCAAGTTTTAGTCCCCTCCTAATTTTCCTCTGTCCATGAAAGGATCATCAAGTAAGCTACCAAGAAAGGAGGGAATTGGTGCATGCCTGTCATCCAGCACTCAGGAGGCTGAGGCAGGAAGATTGTTGTGAATTTGAGACCTGCCTGGGATAGAAAGTCAGCTCAAGGCCAGCCTGAACTGCATAGTGAGACCCTATCTCAAAAAGACAAAAAAGAAAGAAAGTAGGGAATGATGCAGGGCAGGCAAAAGATGGACAGGACATGGGAAGAAGGGCCCATAATAACTGGAAAACTTAGAGCCTGAGTTTTCTGATTCAGTCATACCTCCTAGTGAATTACTAGAAGCACAAAACAGATGACCTTAGCCTTAGAATTGGGCTGGAAGCTTCCCTTTGTCACTTCTCTAGTGAGCAAAAGAAGTTAGCAGATTAAATGAAAGGAAAATCAGACATTAAGTCAAAACACCTAAGTCTATGTCTTGGCTCTGCCCATAGCTCTGTAAATGTGAGAAAGAAGCTCACTAGAATTTTCTAGATCTCAGATTGCCTACCTGACAAATGTGTGGGTTGGAAAATATATATTTAAGGGTCCTTTTAGCATTAAAAACTCCACTTCTAGACTTGAAAAATACACAAATCAGAAACTTTATTAAACATGTCAAGTATATCCATGAAAGCTTTCTATTTACCTTCAAATCTCCATATTCTTTTCAATTTGTTGGCTACCAGTGGTCAGAAAGCTCCCAGTCAATAAGGTGGCCTGGGACCCAGGGGCAGAAGCACCTTTTCAGAAAAAAGGACAAGTGACTGCAGCAGCCCTAACCACCAAACTGAAATGGGAAACCAGGTGGCTCCACTTGCAGCCTTTCGGGCTTGAACATGAGGCTGATGTAGGCACTTTTCCTCCATCGATATGGCTCCTATCGCTGAGAACCTGGCCATCAACCTGCAACCAGCTGTGGCTATACAGCCTTTCACCTCCACAGAGGAGTTGAGGGCTTCTAGAAAACAAAGAGGGATGAGGAGACCAAAGTATTTTGGGGAATCAGGAAAATCCAGTCCTCCCTCACCCCTGAAATCCCAAGGGCCAGAACTTGTAGGGCCTACTCAGAGGTCTGGTTTTCAGACTCATCATACGTTCGTTTTAGTTTACCTCCAGAGAAATGAAGTTTTCCTTGATAACATCGAGTTGTACCCTTGGGACAGGGCAGTGAAGGAGCACTGGAACAGGTTCCCAGAGCCACGCAGGTTGGGCATTGGAGTTGCGGCACACTGGGGACTGGAAGGGCAGACAGACAGTTACGGAGCTGGCTTGCTGCTAAAGAAGTTTGTCCTTGCTGCCTTTCCTTCTGCAAGTCTTTCCTGCTAAGAACACTCTGCACCCACTCTGCAGCCGCCTCATCTCTCTCCAGCTGCTGTTTATGTGTCAGAACGTCATCCACACGACTTCCAAAGTGTAAAGGTCACAGTCCTAGAATCACTGTCTACAAGAATAGAGACGTAGTGCATCCAAAGTATAATGGCAAGGGAACAGACATCTAACTACCTAAATAAATTTTGGTATTTTCAAAAAGCTGAGACTGACCTTGAGGGGGAGAATGAAAAGAGGCTGAGTACGTGGAAATGGGGTTAGAGTGGGAAGCAGTAAGAGTAAAGTCCAGGAGGTGGGAGCCAGTGTGGTGGACCTGAAGAATTACCAGAAGGTGCAGGCTGATATTCAGCTGTTGGCACAGGTAAAGCTGAACCATTTTGTTTTGCTGGTGGCCAGGACCATCTCCTTTGTCAAAGATTCTGAGTACAGTGGCACTTTAGTTCCAGAACTTAATTCCTTCCACAATTCTGGTCACAAACTAAATTGGATGATGACTGAATCAGATTTCATCAGGTCACCATTAAACCTAGCTATTGAGTTTAATTTGATTCTCATCCAATTTGGTTTGTGATGAGAATTGTGGAAAGAACTAAGTTCGTAAGCTGAGGTATTGCTGTATTAATCCCAGCTGGAATGTGATAAATTAGACGGAAGAGAAGGAAATGACGCTGCCGAGACAGGGTCAGAATACTACTGGGCTTGAGGCTAATTAGGGAAATGGGCTGATAACCCCACTCTCCCGCTCAGAAATATACAGATATCCTACTGCTTAATAAACACAAAGCCAGTTTACACTTCAGCTTTCACTGATATCCCTTTGCTCTGATTCTCATGCCACACTTCTGAAAAAGACAATTCATTGAATAGGACAATTAATTGAATCCTTTTGTGCATGGACAAGTTGGGCCTAAGCCAGTAAGAATGCAAATGGGAAAGTCTCGTCAGGCACTCAGGGTGTTTCTCTTAGCACCTATTTCCCTCCCCGCCCCCACCCCCATACCTGCAATCTCTTCTTGCTTCCAAAACGAAATTATGTCCTCTCTCTCGTTGCAGAAGGACTCCTCACAGAAGTTACTGTAGGAGACTGCCACAAGGCCAGGGGGTGCAGAGTGTTGGATAAATGTCGCCGCCTCTGTCTCTTCAGAGATGCAGCCCTTTGTGGCCACAATGACTGTCTTGTCGCCTGCTGAGAAAGCAGTGAAAGAAAGTGGAGTGTGAGCTTAATGTTTGGCCTGGGGAAGGGAAAACACCAGTGATGTGGTTATAATCACCCGCTTTCCTGCTCAACAGTACCATTTCATTTTTTTCTTTTTAATTTTATTTTATTTTGAAAAGTAAAAGCAAAACAAGAACAAAAATCAGAAACAAAGAAAGCCCATTTTCACTTACCTGGTGTGATCATCACTAGACTTTCTTGGCAAAGAGCTCCCTGCACACAAGTCTCAACTTCTTCTGCGGTCCAGTTAAATGAATTCATTGGATCCTCTTCTATAGCAACGACCACACTCTTTTGACATTGCAGATCCTCTGCCACTGTGAAGAAAAGGAAACAAAGATGAACACTTGCCCTTCTCTGAGACCAAAGTCAATTTTTTCTTAAAACCCAAAATCCATCTGTTCTTCCCCCATATCCTACATACGTACTGGTCAAGAAAGAGGATCCTAGGAGGAAGAGGAAGAGCAGATCCTGGAAGTGGCCCATGACTTCTTTTAGGATGGGGAAGGCTGATCAGAATCTATGATTTGATATTAAAATTTAATTTATAAACCAGAAAGAGACTAAATCTAGATTTTCAGCAAGTACTGACTGACTTTGGGGTAGAGTTTGGATAGATAACCCCAACTACTTGTTAACTAAGACTGAGAAATTCAGCAACACAGATACTTAAACCTCAGATACAAGAATTTAGGTCCAAAGACCCTTTTCCCAGGACTCAGGAGTCCAAGTTAAAACACTCTGACTCAGTATCTTAGTCTCTAGTTCCTGGATATACCAGAACTTTGAGGACTGACAGCTCAGACCTATCCTACTTAGAAATACAGGAATTGGTTCCAGTTGCCTCTTCCCTCAGGACACAAGAGTCTGGGATTATGGCATCTTCCTGCAAACCTGAAAACCTGGGCCCCATCCTACTATCTCTAAAATCAAGATCCAGACCCCAGTGATCTACTCTCAGACACAGGAGCCCAGGCTCAAACCCTTCCTCCATCAGACCCAGAGATCCAGGTTTCCATTCCTCTTCCCTCAAACCTAGAGGTTAAAAACCAACCCCTTCTCTGTGAGACTCAGGGATCCAGGCCCACACCTCCTCCTTCAGACCTAAGGGTCCATGGCCTCGAAGACTTGACTGACCCAGGATTCCAGGTCCTAGCTCTCCACCCTAAGACTCAAGGGCCGCTCCCTCTTTGCTCAACTGCATCAGTCTAGCCTCCAAGCTTTAGCTCCTCATTCAAATCTAGGGATATAAACCCAGCCATTCCTCTATCAGGCTTAGAGGTTAAGGCGCCAAGCCCTCCACACTCTGACCCATGGGTCCAAACACTAGACCAGTGATGAATATTCTAGAGCTGTCATGATAGCAAACATCCAGCTGTGTCACATGAGCCATAGGTTCATCACCATTGCCCTAGGTTCTTCTTCCTCAGACTTAAGGGTGCTGGTCCTAGCCCTCCTCACTCAGCTATAGAGGTCCAAGAAGAAAACCATTCCTCCCCTCGGGCCCAGGGGTCCAAGTCCCATCCCTTCCTCCCCCAGACCCAGTGGTCTAGGGCCCAGCCTGCCTCCCTCAGACACAGGCATCTAGGCTTCAGACCATCCTTCCACTGCTCTAGGCTTTCTGGCACCTAAACATTTCACATTGATCCAGGCTGTGGCTCCTAATCTCTCAAAACCCAGGGTACAAGCCCAGTCCTTCCCTCTTCAGGCAAAGGAGTCCAGGCCGGGGACTGCTATTTTCCAGGCCCCCATTGCACTACTCCCATAAAATCCAGCTATCTGGCTGGGTGTGGTGGCATACACCTGTAATCCCAGCACTAGGAAGGCTAAGCCAGGTGGATCATTGCAAGTTCGAGACCAGCCTGGGTTACAAAGTGAGCTCAAGGGCAAGTGAACAGTGTAGGGAGAAACTGTCTCAAAAAAGATTCCTCCCCTCCCCCCCCCCAAAAAAAAAAATCCAGTGGACTGGGTCCTAGCTCACCTCCCTCAGACCCAGGGGTCGGGCCCCATTTCTTCTGTGAGACCTGGCCTCAGCCCTCCTCCTGAGAAACAGGATCCAGGCCCCAGTCTTCCTTGCTCTGAGGACCCGGTGGTCCAGGCCATAGCTCTCTTCCCTCACTGCAGGGGCACCTGTCTCCTACCCGCTTTTCCCTCATCTAAGACTAAGTCCTGACATTCTCTTTCTTCTTTTTTTATAAAATTGGGTCACTTTCCTCCATTTTCTTCCCACCCAGTAGGAAAATTCTCGATGGGTTCCACAGAGCCTCACCAGAATCTAACGACGCCAAATACGGGTTCTACGCTCGGGCTCTCATGGCTTCCAGAGGCACGGAAGGCGGGGCCAAAATCAGCCAGCAGAACACGTGAGGTTCCGTTGGTTGGTGCTGAAGGAATGGATGGTTTCATTGGATGAGCCTGGAGAGTGCTTGCACCTCATTGGCCACTGAGAAGTCGATCAAAATTGAGACAGAAGGCACGCATGCGCTAAGGGCCTGCAGCGGGCAATGGTGCGCACGTGCATAACGGATGTGCTGGCCGTGTGGCCCGAGAAGCGTTGCTAGGCTTTGCTGCTGAAGACGTGCGAGGCAGAGAGTGCATCTCCAAGTGACCCGGCTTCCTCCCTGGGAGGTGGCCCGGCTTTTCATATCCATACACTTTAGGAGGTTAAGCCTTTGGTCCTTATTCACTGAACCAGTGACCTACCTCTATGGCCTCGCATGTGCCTGGTTCACCATTCTCACGTTCCTGGCTTTCCTGTAGGTGGGTCCTCTTAACCCATCAAGCTGCGTACTTGTTCCCCTCAGTGTTCATGTGCAGCGGTGCCTGCTCAGCCCAGGGCTCACGCGTTGGTCACATCATTGCACCAGCATCCTCATGGTCTCCTGGCAGAGATGAGTGCCCTCTTCCGTGGCATCTGGGGCATCCTTAAATTGTATCCACGTGCAGTAGCCAGCTAATAGTATCATCACATCATTACTGCGTATCCACGTCAGTGTCATAAACACACATCGTTCAGATCTCTTTTGCATAGATGAGATTTGTACTTCATTTGTATGTGAGTTCTTTTTGTGTAAATGAAGGATCTGCTTTGTGTGCTCTAATAATTGATGCTCTCCTGTGGGCTTTGGTAATAGTAAATATTTAGGTTTTTAAATTTTTTTTAAATTTACTTATTTATTTGATATTAGGTCTTGCTATGCAGCTCGGATTTGTAGTGATCCTCCTGTCTCAGCCTCCCCTGAGGTTGTGCTGGGGTCGCAGGTGTGCGCCACCACGCCTGGTTTCAGTAGCCAGCTTGGCACACCCGGGGTTCTGGGGCCGGCATGGCATGCGGTACTGGAGCTCGAACTTGGGTCATTGAGCTTGCCCGTCAGGCACTTATACCACTGAGCTATTTCCCCTGCCCAGTGGTTAGCTTTAATAGAGAAAATATTACTATAAGAAAGGCATAAGGGCCGGCCAAGTATCTCAGTGTATTAAAGCGCGTGCAAGGAGGCACAGGGGCAGGGGTTCGATCCCCGGGCTTGCCGTGACGGCCCGCCCCCGGGGCACGCTGAGACGGCGATTGAGACTGGGTTTGGTGGTGCCTGCCTGTAATCCCAGCCCTTGGGAGGCTGAACACAGGCAGATCACTACGAGTCCAATGTAGTAGTGAGACCCTGAACACCCTGAACACCCTTCCTTAAAATACAAAAAAAAAGAAAGGCATAAACAGAGCTCTTAATTTTTATGTAGAGCCATGTTTAGAACTTCCAGTGGTTAAACAAAAATGTTCAGGGACCGGGGACATATAGCTCAGAGGCTCAGCACCTACCTGGCAAGCTCGAGCTCCTGGTAGGCGGTGGGCATGGGGGGAAATGTTTAGGGGCACTTACTAAAAATAGTAAGAGATAGCAACTTAGTTAACTTACTTGAGGAAGAATATTGTTCCCTTTTAGACCCTGAAGAAATGTTTCTAAAACCCAAATCATGATTTAAACAAAAGCTTTGCAATTACATTAAATTGTAGCCCTAAGTATTATGTACTTTTGAGGTCCTAAGATTCAAAACATTAACAATAGGTGTGTGATTATTATTATTATTTTAAGGGGATGGGAAGTAATGAAACCAGATATCTTTAGGTCTTAGGACTATGGGGAAAAGGTCACTGGGGTCTTCAGGAGTCAGGCAGGAGGGAGCGCCTCACACAAGTGTTGTGGCCAGTTCCAACCACGTTCCAGCAGTGATGTGAGGGGCAGCGCTGAGACTTTAGGGAAGGAGGCCGCTTAGGGGTGGGTTACTTTCATCCTTGTCTGCCTGGCACATTCTGAAAGTGCTGGCGGTTTTAATGTTGATTTGTGCTTTTTAACCAGTAGCTAAGCGACAGGGCGGGCTGTGTTTAATGTGCTCTGTGGTTATGAACCTGCTTGCTGGAGCAAAGTTTAGAAAAACCTGTAAGAAATTCACCTCAAATATCAGATTTGTGGTGTCTGCACCCCTCACCCATTTTGGAAAAAACCCAGAGTTGCTTAGGAAACTCTGGGTTCTTGCCCCAATTCTTTCCTCCTTCAGGCCTAGGAGGCCACCTGGACCTGGAAGTTCAAATTACAATGCCCTCAATTTCAGTAACCAAATATGTCAGTGGGAAAGGATTACTATGCTCACTGTGGGAGAGAAGGGAAAATAAATGTTTATTTTTGATAGGGAGGGTTCCGCAGTAAGATGGGTATTGGTAAAAACTCTTTAATTTTATATGAAAATGTATCAAAACCTCCCTAATGGTTAAAAGTGTCAGGGACAGTTACTACGAATATCAGGAGATAGTCTGATTCCATAAGGGGCCCAGGATTCTGAGGCTCTTCTCTTAGGCCTCAGGCTTCCACTATGGATTTCTCCACCTTTTCCTGGAGTGCGCTGTATAACTTCAGGGGTGGGCAGGGTCCTGGATGTTGGCCACAACCGCCAGTGCAGTACTGATGGATTAGCGGACCCGGAGAGCCTAAGTGGTGCAGGGAGCTTCCCAGGTACCTCCTTTCTTTTTTCTTTCTTCTCTTTCTTTCTTCTCTTTCTTTCTTCTCTTTCTTTCTTTCTTTCTTTCTTTCTTTCTTTCTTTCTTTCTTTCTTTCTTTCTTTCTTTCTTTCTTTTCTCTCTCTCTCTCTCTCTCT